GGTGGTGAGCGACGCGTTGGGGCTGGATGAATGAGGATGGATGCCGAGGAGCAAGCAGCGGTCGGTCTCCTTTAAAGTCGTCATCGCGGTCGTGGTCGCCACCACTACTCCTGTCCTCGCTTGGCCTAAGGGGAAAGAGGAAAAGGATGAGTGAGCAATAAAGCTTGTTGGGGCTCACAGAACGAGCGGCAACACAGAGGTATCTTGCGCCCGGATCATCCAGCAGCGGCAGCAGCAGCCATAGTAGCAACAACAACAGGAGCAGCGGCAACACATCGAGCTTAGCTTAAGCTTAACCAATCCATCGGTAACCTTGCCTAGCTCGGCTATAGGCTGTTGACAGGCAGGAAGCAGGCGCCGCATTTCGCTCAATAAAACAGCTCTTCACTTCACCTCTTAAGCACAAATCATTTGTGGCCAGTGTGTATGCACGGTTGCCGACACTTGCCACTGCTATCCACCAATAACTTATTACATACAACTAATGTCTAGTACCTGCTAACTGCTCCCTAGCACTTATTTTACCTGCAAGCACTCCCTTATATCACTAAAACGCCACCACTAACTAACACCAATACCAGCAACACTGATGCTGCTATTGTTAGTACCATTGTTATTGTTGTTATCATCATCATTATCATTATTATCATCACCATTATTATTATTATTATTTTTATTCTTATCATCATTATTATCACTATTTTATTACTGTTATCGCTTCCATTAAAGCTGCTATTTGGTGCATTCGAGAAGCGTGGGAAGGAAAGAGTAGCGATCCTTACTATTATGTTAAACTTTAGAAACAATTTCAAAAATAAGTTTTTCACGCTGAACATGCAAGAAGTTAGGATCGTTTTTTCTTTCTTTCACAGCCTCGGAACTCTTATGCAGCAGCTTACGCTCATTTTGGAAAAGTATTACCTTCCGCGCCATTCCCACTGATGAATGAATGGGTGATCAGTGCAAAGAAGGAAAAAAAAAAAACTAAAACTGCAATCAGTGAAAGGAATCCAAAAGTTTCCGAAAACTGATACACGCCAAAACCTTTATTTATCAGTGTGGAAAAACAATTTCTACAGAAAGCCGGAAAATATTTACAGAGAAGTGCTAAAACGTGTCTTTTACAGAGAAGTATGCGAAGAGGTAGGGAGTACAAGGCAGTGAAACAATAATGCACGGAAAAAAACATAGATAACACGAATAAAATTAAGCAAGAAAAGCAGTTATTTGTTAAAATGCCATTCAACAATTAATTTACAGAAGTTCGAACGCCCACAATTATGCTTTTTTTGATTACATTAGCGTGCTCTTTCTAAAGCTTGCTAATTTATGTCATTTTTTGAACAAAAGCATAAATATCAATCTACGTCAAATTCTCGGCGATTAGTTTCTGTTCTGGTTTCACTCTGAAAAAAAAAAACACAATATAATAACTGAGCGTTTTTATGCTTCATATTTGACGTGCGGTTAGTTCCTATATCATTCTCTTCCTTATTTGATCATCTGCTAAATTTATCGCTTTCACCTTTTTTAAAATTGTAATCCATTTTCTTATACAAATTCCATATTATTTATCTCTTTTATCAACACCACAACCGCCGCACTGTTGAAATCCAGTTGTGGGGCTGAGTAGGAGTGCCTATGACTTAACGGTCCAAAGCACTTCGACATAACGGGCAAAAGCAGTTCATCAATTTTTTAAATATAATTTTATATAATTTTTGTGCATATCATAATTAGTACTTACATTAACAAATTTATTCGATAATATAATCCTTATTTCGAATTCAAAGGTCCTATTCTAAGTCTGTACGAATGCTACCGCAGTCTCTTTTTATTCCACGCAGTGGTACTAAAATTGAGTCTGTCGCAGTTCAGGGTTTACTAAAAAACATTAGACCCTTTGCTCTAGCAAAACACAACCACTCAACACTTGCAGCCGAGATGTAGTGTAAACAGCGGTTGACAACTAACAAAAGATTAATATGAATGCTCACAGCCAGCCAAAAATTAGAAACCATCAGATCAAAATTCAGTCTTAGGCTGATGTTGGAAAGCAAAGAGCTTCTAAAGTTCATGTCAGGTGTCATCGCCAAACGATCTGCTATTCATGCCTTTGCAGCTACGGAATATTGGAAAGGTATAATCGTAATTATACGTGACATATAACTTTACATCAGCAACAAAGCTTTGCTGAGCTAAAAAAGTGGTGCATGAAAAATACCTGACTGCATTCGTCGTCCATGGAAATTTTTTTCTTCTCTTTTGCTTTAGAAAGTTTCAGCTGGAATCGGCGGATTACTGGTACCAGTTTGACAAGGCGGTGAATTGATAGCACCTGGAAATTCGTCGGCTTCGAAAATTCAAGACGATATGCCAATACACAAATGGTATTTTGAAGATGAAATCACAGCGGATCTTGCTGCAAGAGCGCTTAGCGCGCAGCTGCGTCAACAGCAAATGGCGCGGTGCGTTGAGATTTTGGAGCGCATATTAACAATTAGCTCATATCTGTCCCACCGCTTGATTATATACATAGTCCACTTCCTCCGAGTTTTGTTCAAGTTTATTTTCTCACTGAAACGCTACGTCCACTGGCTGTCAGCAAGGCAAACAAGTTGTTCCATTCATCGGATTTTACTTATTTGTGTGGTCATTACGATATTCTGCATGCCACTGATCTGGCAGAGAATAGAGATTTTTTTTTCTATAACCACCAAAAGACAATGGTTCATTCCCACTCTCTTCCATTACTGTAGCCTTCTGTTGCGACAGCGATTTTTATGCGTTTTTGCCGTGCAGTACTAGAGCGCAGAAACAGGCAGCAAAAACGCATATTGCAACGACCCTGCCAGTGTGTGTGTG